ATTACAAGAGGCGGTGTTATCGCAAGCCCACGTAGCACCTGGGGTATGTACCTTGGGAGTTGAGGATTGCAAAGCATGACTAGTCACTGGAATGTATAATGTATAAGTAGATGACGATGTAACAATGTACTTGGCCATTGCAGTGCAGCAAATGTTCAAGCCCTGGGGAGCGTGACAAGCTGCTTGCTCCATTCCACAGCATGTTCGTTCCAATGGCCCCGGAAGCCCTGGCCCATGGCCACTGAAAAGTAGTGGTCCTTGGTTACTCGTTGGGGGCAAGACCTGTCGTGAAATGCCAGGCATGCCATTTCCAAACCAGAGTTTGGGCATTGACTGCTGAATTGCCTAGCATTGTGAGCAGACCGCGAGGCAAGGGAACTTGCAAAGCTTGTGTCAGGGCTGCAAGCAATGATACAGGTGGTGGCTGGAGGCAAAAACTGTAGGTGGGCAAACAGCAGACCACCCACGCGGAGAACAAAATAAAGAAAGCAGACGAAAACCAACCAGCACAGAACATATCCGATCTAGACTCCAAGGGTGCCAGCTTCCTCTGCACCTCTGCATCAACCAAAGCTTTAGCAGCATCAAGCTTGAATATGTACCTCAGCTTCCCGCAAGTCTCGCAAACCGACTCACCCAGCAAAAAGACTTAAGACCAGAGTCTAGACTTTTAGACTCCCTGCAAGTTGATGTAACTTGTCAGCACGGGATCGCTTGTTCAAGCACTTAAGCAACCTCGCGGATTCTTCGATGAAGCCTGATTAAGCCAAGAATCCCCACAGTCCATAAAGTGTAGCCTGCAAGGCAAGGGTAGAACTTTATAGTTACTCTATTTGCTCTGGCTTGCCATTGGAAGCCGACAACAAAAGAGCCAGCTTGCCTGGCTGAGCAAGGTGTTCACTGACGCGCCGGATGTCTCCCTCTGTTGGGCTTCGGCCGAGATACCTTAAATTAATTTTCTGCGCTGCCCGCTTCAACAAGCCATCGAAATGATTTGAAATGCACGCCAAAGTCACATCAGATTCCAATCGTGTCCGCAGGCTTCTTCTAAACAGCTGCCCAGACGTTCTCTGAAATTCTCTTGCCTTGTCGCATGCACTCAGACCCTACGATGTTACTCGAGCCTGGAGCCTTCTTTACCGCCACTGCATTCTACAGTGTGCACGTCAATAGGGTGCACATATGACAAATAGTCTAATAGTCATGAGGCAGATCAAAATCATCTTCCAGAATCAACGCTGAAGGAATGTTCTGCTCGACCTTGGTATTCACTCACCATACAACAATCTACCGGGATTTTGACATATAGCTCTCTGATGGTAAATATATGCCGCAGCTGCATTCTATCCTGTCGAGAAGCCATGTAGTGCCAAATCGTGAAATGGCTCATGAAACATCCCAGTTGACCAGTCGTAAGATGCGGCAAGGTGTTCCTGGGCCCAACTGCTGACTTGATCTTGGTGATACATGCACAAATAAATACATAAATACCTCTCTCTCTCTCTCTCGGCAGCGTCTGGCTACAACGCAGCCGTCCCACTTATCTATGTATGTGTGAATAAATGAATGTATGCATGGAGCATGTAATCACTTATGTTACACACATGTCCATCCGTAGATGTCTTTATCTATTGTCTGCGATGTGTTATATAAGTTTTCTTTTATGGGTATGTATATAAACACACGGCGTATAATAAAGAGAACAAAGGAATGTGTGTGTGTGTGTGTTTGTAATTTATTGTACACTTATGTGTGTGCATGTGCACGGTTCCTGTAGAAGCCTCATAGGACTCATAGGCCTTCAGCTCATTACGTGTAAAAACTGCCGATTGCCTCCAACTGGCAGTTAGTCTTGCGGAGTTGCATTGAATTGAATGGTGGGCCGCCACATTGCTACTGCACAAACCTAGATTCAATATGTACTTTGCTGGTCATGTTTTTGTCACACTGATTTGATACGTTTGATACCTCTCTGCATCCAGCACACTTGTGTCCGCAGTAGTTGGGGAGAGTCTTTGCCCCCAACCTCATTTAGGGCAAGGTGAACAAGTCTTGCCAACATGTCTGTTCACACGCTCAAATGTGAAGCCCAGAGACTCTTCGATTTCCTCCTGGCAAACATCTCAGGGGCTTTTTGGTGGCTCATGTGACGGCAGCACATATGACACCTTATCCACATCGCCAAGCTTATGGGGAAATAATCAGCAATATGCAATACGTTGCAACACAAGAAGCATCAAGAAGCCAATACACCGAAATACCATGCCAACCCATTGAATGCAATTGACAAAGGAAGTGGAACTGATGCACTAGCTCACTAGCGTCACTTGGGATTGATGTCATCAGCTATCGAGCCCCCGCTCTTGCAACCCCAGATCCTGGGAGGTGAAAGCATCACCATCAACTGCATCAACGATCATAGCATTGAGGCCTGCTTGGTGCAGTTGCGAAAGAACCTCAGAACAACATGTTGAAGTTATCTTCATGCATGAGGCAGCTGAAATGAACAGCATTCAAGATAATGACATCCGTCGAGACCCATTCCTTCACAAATTCTTCCACAAATGGAGAGCAAGCACAAAATGTGCTGCTGCTTTCAAGGCGCATGCTTCAATTTCGCTGGTCTCCTTGGCCTTGGGAATTCGGCATTCCAGTGCATGCAGAGTCGCTGAGTTGCCGGTGTCACAAGCAGCACCCCGCTACGGAGCTGCACACTGCAAAGGTAATCGCGGGGAATCAGCTGCCGTGTATCAAGATTCAATTTGTCTTAGCCGGCTAAGATCAGCCAAGTATCAAGTTGATGATGAACACATTCTCCATTGGATCACCCAGCTCCACGGCATCTTCGGCTCTGCAGAATCTCTGAGGCTGCGAGCTACAATTCACCTCTCAGGTTGAGACCGCTCACACAAAGAGAATGGGTAGGTAGGGACATCAAATAAACATTGAAGCAAGCTGGCATCATAGGGACAAGAAGCGACAAAATAGTGGAAAGAGGAAACGAGCTATGTAAGTCCTGAAGCCCAAATGTCATGCCCCTGGGCCTGATGGATGTGTCTTTCGTAAAGCCGGGGCCAGTATTGCAGGCGAGACTTGGAGACTCGCCACACATCATTCTGCTCCTCATCGCAGCTTAGCGTGAGTTTGGCACAGCCATACGCACCTGTTCCTAAACCCATACCACCATTCAACATGATGTCCACCACTTGCAGTGGGACGCAGTGTATTTCCCACCTCCTCTGCGATGGTGCCATCGGTGCTGTAGGACCTGGGAGGTGCCGGAATCAAAGCTGAGCCAGTGGCAACGGGCATTCTGGGGCCATGGCTTTGCGTTTACCCAATCGTAGTTTTGGACCTTATCCAAACTTGAAGATGCAACAATGCCTGGCAATTCTAGTTGACTATCGGCATTTCAGTGGTCCGCCTATCTGCGCGCAGCCTAGTGCAGCCTGGAAGCTGTATAGTCCACAGTTCTATCCTCAGCTTTGCTTAAAAACATTTTGCAACGCGAGCCCTGTGGCGATGTAAAGCGATATGTTTCAGTGGCGGCGCGTGGACAAGAAGAGAGCACGCCAAAAGTGAATTTTAAAAAGAACAAAAACAAACGGACCAAGGTGGATTCGAACCACCAAAGTTTGTCTGCAAGATCCTTGCTTTCGCAAAGACGACAACGCCTTCTCCATTGGGCAGCTGGTCCAATTGCATCATAAAAGATCGCAACTGAAGAACGAAAGCTAAAACAAAGCGCCAACGTGGTGATAGCGAGGCCGGTATGTCGTGGCCAAGCTTCATGGTAGGACTTGTGAAGTCTAACCGTCTCCTGTGAAGTCTAAGCACCAAGAAAAGAAGCTTTCAACAAGCACAGCTTTCACGAAGCTTCAGGATTCCTTTCTTGCGCCGACGAAAGACGCCAGAAGATGGGGTGTTAGATTGCCGTTGCAGTCGCAAACCACTCCCCAAAACCCCCAGCAGTCCTCATCCAGGGGCAACGGTTCTTGCACACTGCTAACCGCTCGCAAGAGGTGGCCATGGCCTCAGCATTGATGAAGAAAAAACCCATTAGTTTTGTACACGTGAATGAAGCAGAAAGGATACTTTTTATACTGCTTTAGAAGTGGCTAAGCCAGTTCTTTCTCCATCTGATTGGAGAAAATGCAGCAGCACAAAGTGAGAAACCTGACTCAAGTGGCGGCAAGTGATTCCTCTCCAAGCAACACAAACAACACCGCAAAGATTTGTGCAACTTGGTTGCAGTGTGAGGCAATGCCCAGGGCATGTAGGGCAAGGACAGCTAAAGCTATCCTTCCCATGCGCCTGAAGTGGGCTTGCCAAGGTTGCCAACATTCACGGCCAAGTGCTAGCTTGTTGGCATCATTGCGCCCCTGCCTCGCTACCGCTCCCAGTCTCGCCACCTCAGCTTGTTGGGATGTGACGCACTCTGGCAGCACGTTTTATCAAAAACATCCACAAGCACTGCACGTCATTTCGTCCTTGGACGCCTTCTGACAAACCCTGATGTGGCAAATGCATCCTGATATGTAGAGCAACAGTGGGGGCACCTCACATTAACCTGGATGGGAGATCCTGGCCTGCATGCGTGGTCGCTCATGCCACACTGGCATATGGAAAAACCGCCGCGGCTCAAAATATAAAGTGTTTGTCACTAGTTTAGGAACAACTCATGAAACTGGAAGGTCCTCAAGGATGAGTATGCGAGCTTTAACTCTTGCAAACCAAAGAGGTCCAAGATATTTGCATAAATAGTGACAGGGCCCGCCTGCCAGTTCAGAATTGGAAAGGTTCCCCAGCCTTCAAGATCTTCAGCAGTCTTGTGTTTCTGCTATTGCCTCTTGTGGCTCAGGTGCCGGGCAAAGCTGACAAGCCAAAAAGCTGCAGGCCAAGTTAAATCTACGTCCAAACAAAGAAAGGAAGCTCAAAGCTCCAAAGCAAACACTGACCAGGGCAAAGACCTATTGACCTTACTGCCTTGCAGCAAGCACCTCGGCCGCCTCTGTCACCTCTGTCCCTGCCGGCGGTTCACCTTTGTAACCTGGCCGTGACTCGAATCGGAAATATCTCTGCTTCTGGAACTGAACAGGCAAGCACGGCATGCAATGCAGGTCCACACACACAATGCTGGCTTTTACAGGGTGACTCCGGCTTCTGAAAACCAAAACAGTGCAATAACCTGCCGTAGAGTACAAGGATCTTATGCACTGTCAAACGCCATGACTAGGTCAGGCATGGTGAAATCACCCAATCTCCGTGGGTTGGCAGCTTGGCACGGTCTTGGAGCTGGAAAATAAATCGCCAAGTACCAACTGCCCCCCGTCGTCATTGCAACACCAACTTCCACAAAATAAGACGCATGAATTAAGAGGCTGAAGAATCAGCAACCCCACTACGCAAACCTCTCAGGGGTGTCCTGGCATCTCGTCGATCAATGACCATTGGCATAACGCAGGCGCGCCAAATGTCAAAGAGCTGACGTCCACGATTCAGCGAAAGCTGATACCCCAGAAGAACCAAGTTCCCCGCCAAGCACCGCGCGGTGTCCGGGAAGAAATGGTGAGTTGAAGGCGACCAAGGCTGGGATGCCAGAACTACTAAACGAGAGGCCTCAGAGCCTTCCATTTTGGCAAGCTCCAAGGGTGATACACAGAGCCGACCAGTGGGGTCTCGCTTTCGCTGATCTAGTGGGGCACCTGCACGCAGTAGCCGAATCACTCGTGAAACTGGCAGTATGCTAGCATGGTGCAATGGACTGCACCAATCTCTGGTCTTAGATAACCATTGCACAATGTGACTGTGTGCAGCTGCAGCTTCGAAGGCAAAGTATCCCCCCATAGCGTCTCGCAAGTGCGTGCGTCTGGCTCCATAAGAAGAAAGTACCTGGACCACATCCAAGTGACCGTTTTCACATGCATAGGCCATGGCAGTGGCGCCTGTTTGGTCAGGCTCATCCACCTTGAAGGAGCCGCATTGCAGGAGCAAAGCCGCACAGCCAGCATGTCCATGCATTGATGCAGCATGCAACGGGCTTCGCTCTGCTGGCTGCAATCGAAATGACGGTGTCCTTTCCATCTTTTCAAGCCACAAAGCAACTTGTTCCTCACATCCTTGACTGCAAGCCTCTGGGAGGCTGATCATACTTAATTAGAGTTTTTGGTGCCGCGGCCGAGAGAACAGATTCGAGTGATTATGGCTGGCTGTGATGATTTGTTCAACACACGTGTTCGACAACCCATAAGCAATAGGCCCGGCCTATTGTATGCGCTGACTGGTCGAGAAATAAATAAATCATGAAGGAGGAATTGATATGAATCGATCATGGTTGTGATGGTGGAATACACCCGCTGGGCAAAATCGGTCCCCGTTGATAGCTGTTCTTGGCAGCGTCTGCCTGGGTGTTCGTCTCCCTTGAGCCACAAACAGGCAAGCATGATGTTTGGCCGGGTTGGCAGGCTTGTTTAATCTTCTTGTCAAGGAAAAGCTAATCTCTTGCTTCTGTCAGGTATCCTACTGCGCTGGCAATGCCTCTGCAGGTTGTGGCTGGGAGCGCACGGGGTCCCACATTTCTTGTGCCACCTGTCACTGGGGCATATGAAAACTTGGCAAGGCCTCTGAGCCTGAGTTCGTTCCCTGGGCCTTCAGCACTTCTGACAATGTCATCAACGGTGACCTCCGATGAAACCAGCAGGTGACACAATTGACCAATCCTGGCATCCTGACTCAATCCCAGCACCTGTACCGGAGCAGGATACTTGTTCTTCACCTTTGGAAGCCGCATGGCTTCTCCCTCAAGTGAAGGGCTTGTGGGAGTGTGATGGTACACGCTGAGGTTGCATTATTGTTGGGCAAGTGTCATCCTTCTGGCGTGAAGCGTGTCCAGATGTATTTAGGCATATAGAGTGCAACTCAACCGACTCAACCAGTTATTGTGCTGAGAGCACACGAAATACACGGCATGCTTCAATTCCATGCCAAAGCAATTACTAGTGTGAGGATGAATCTCCAGTGCTGTGGCGAGGTTCTCAGTAAGATTCCACCCTGCATAGGAACATCTAGCATCTTTTCTGAGCCAAGCTTGCAACGGGAGGTGCGCATTGTGCAAAAGAAGGCCACCAGCTGAGCGTTGTTGCAAACATTCGCGGCATATTGGGACTGTCCTTCGATCCTGCTGCATCGCCTGAGGCGCGCTGTTGGGCACTGTTGTGTGACAGGGGAAGCTTGTCCATGCATCTGTGACTTTGGAGCATCCTTTTTTTGTAAATTAAGAATGAGTTCCACCTTTTGGAAGCATGACTTGATGAGTCCGAGTAGGGTAGTGCAGTCCATTCCGAAGGTGCCCGGTTAGGGGCACATTGCAGCAGGCAGCGCTTAGGCTGCAACTGCGAGCTTTCTTCGAAGCCTTCCCAGCTTTCGCCGACCTCGACTGTGCGTAGTGAGGGTTAGGCACTAGCCGTGGGCAGCTGAGCTTGAAACGTGGAGTTTGCTGATCCAGACTCCTGGTCAGCCAGTTGCAGTGTCAAAACAAGTTTGCCCAAGGCGCTTTGAGGATCCAAGGCGCTTAGAGTCTGGCAGGCTCTACCGGTGGTATACGTGTAAATACCGGATGTATAGCTATACCACATTATTATACCACCATGTATTTATGGTACCCTGAAATCACCGGCCCACCCAGTCTCCTCCGTGCTGGGCATCAGTCGCTCAAGGGGCCGTGGGCACCCGCGGCCCGCAGCTGAGCCAAAGGTTCGACCAAATGGCGCCAACAGGTTGCCCCCAGTAGCATCCTTGCTCCTAGTAGCCATGCCAGGAGCCCCTAGTAGCTTCTTGCTCCTAGTATATAGTAAGGCCAGGAGCCCCTAGTAGCGTCCTTGCTGGTGATTCGAGCAGTTCGGCCCGAAAGGTCTGACGTGAGGCGCAATGCAAGAAGCAAGAATAGACGCTGAACGCCAAGAAGTGCTGGATGACATCCTGCAAACCTCAAACAGAAAATGAAACGAGGTGATGCGGCGAGGCGATGAGAGGAGCACGAGAACAGGAACAGCAAAGGCTATGGCGCGATGATTGGAGGTGAAGCAACTGCAGCAGGCGTGGCAGGCAGGATCAAACTTTCTCGAATTGGTCCAAGCAAACCGGGTCCACCAGGTCTCGATGCAAACACGTCAAGGCTTCAAATGACTAAACGACTCAACGGCTCTTCTTTCCAGAGGAGATGGCTAAAGGCGGTCGCCCGTGAGTCGGTAACCGATCACACTGCCACTCGGCGTGGGGCTGCTCCTAGGGCAAAGGCCCAAAAGGGAAAAGGAGAGAGCAATAAGGGCCGCGGCCTCGTTGATAAGGCCCCTTGAAAGTTGAAAGGGGCCCCATCAAAGAGGCCCTTCTTACCCCTTTTTTGTTACTCTCTTTTGTACCTACTAGTTACTAGGTCGAGAGCATAGTCTGAAACAACATGAAAGAACAAAATCAGTCATGCGATTGGCTATTCAAGGCAGCTAGTGCAATCCGACCATGTGGTGACATATGGTGACATGGACCCCCGGGACAAAATCAACCGAGTAGGGCTGTTACCCCAAAACCACTACAAAGTTCTTGTTTGTTGGAGGGTGGTGAGTTTTAAAGACCTTTGTAGTGGCGACACTTCCAGCCCCAGCCCTCAGGCGTGAGGAACTGCCTTGAAGAACCGGAGCCCTTTGCCTCCTTGCTGCACAGCAGTAGCTCCATGGCTTCTTTGCTTAGGCTTTTTAGTCTTAGCGTCCTTTCCCTGCTGAAAGAAGACAATAGACTGAATACACCAAAGACTACTTACCCTCCCTGCAACAAACATGGAAATGGACAACCCATGGCCGCTTCCTTTTTTTTGATGGAAAATTGCCTTTCCAAAGGCCATTCCATGATTGTTGCAGGGAGGGTAAGACTTGTGATGCGAGTTTCTTTAAGAAGAACAAGCCAATTAATTCTGTGGATTTAACTTGCCAAGGCGTCTAAGACTCTAAGATCTGCTTGGATTGCAGCGTTCTGCTTGGCAAGTGGCAAGACTCTTCTGGGCTGAGCGTTCGCACTTTCACAACCTCACACAAGTGACGGACTGTCCGACAGCCCTACAATGCAAACTCTACTGCATACCTCCTCGTAACAGATTGCTCAGGAGCAGACGCCTCGGCGAGCCCCGGAGAGGCTCATTCCAGAACCAGCGACCTGCAAAGCACAAAGCAAGTTCAGGAGCCAGCATTGGCGTGAAGGCGAATCTGGACATCCAATTGTCCCGCCTCTACGGGTGCAGAGGAGCTTTCCTGACTCATCCAATTGAGGCACCGGCAATTCTGTGACTGGTTTTGGCTCATTGTTCTATAAGTGACTAAGCCTGGAGATCCTTTTCTCCCACCAACTGCTCGCTGTTGGAAGCCTAGCAATGAGCAAATCAGCCGGTGCTCCTGTAAGTGCGAAGGCCTACACTGGTGTCCTTCTGCAAGCGAGCCAGGCAAACACTGCCAACCGTACAAAGCGAGCAGGAAAGGCGGCAATACTTTCCTCGAAATCAAGCAGCCAACGGTGGCCACGACTTACCTTGCATTCTTCTGAGCACATCCACTAGCCAGCGGTGAGAAACGATGGCAGTACCCCATTGAGGCCTCAACACTTACAGCAATCTGATCAAGCCAAATTTTGGCGTGGGATATGTGACATGCCCACATAGAAACACATACGTTCAATGTCATTGACGCATCAAGACATACTTTCCTTTCGAGACCTCAAGGAAGACTGACAGAGAAGTGCCCCAAGCCCAAGAAGTGCACCAAAGAACACACTCTCACCATCGAAGGAATTTGGCAAACCCACAGCCCACGCCCAAAGCATCCAGGGGCTCTTGCGAAAGACTTGCAGCCAGGCAAGTGGTTCCAGACCTGGGCCGACAAGACTTGGAAGTTGGGAAGTGAAGCTGATGTATATAGCAGATTTGAAATAGCCAGCGCTCGATGCGTGAGATTACAAAATTGAGAATTGAAGTTGGGCAAACATTTACAGTAGAAAAAAAAATGCTGGGGTTTGAGGCCATGTTCTTATTGTCATCCTCGCACACCTGAGGAGTAGGTATGTTTTCTGCCTTGATGCAACAAAACGGAACGACGGCACTGGCCCTCTCTTGCCTCCGGCTCGGTTTTTTTTTGCGACGGCTCTCCATCCTGCACGAGGCTGCTTTGCCTCTTCTGAGCCTCAGACTGGCCCCCATCAGTGAGAGAGCGAAGAGAGCCGAAGAGTGAGACTCTCTCTCTCTCTCGGACTGATGGCAGAAGCATTGCACGTGACTGAGGGGCTACTGGGTTGTCAACACAGTGCCGGCCCTTGACATGACAAGTGGGACACTCAGGAGCTCACCGTATGCTTTGCCAAGCCTTGGTAGTTTTGTGCATGCTCACCACCCCCATCCCAGAGTTGCTTGGCACATTCTGGCCTATGCCCACCCACCACTTCTTTGCGTCGTAGATGGTGTAATACTTCCTCCCAATGGCTTCTATCGGCTGTATGCGGGCAAAAGCCATCTTCAATTCTTTACCCCATCCACCAGCCCGTGTCACGCCTGAGTGCTGTTTGTCCGAAAACCCACATCGGGCCCAGGTTTGGAGGCAGGTCTACAGGCCTCGGCTTGAAAATGCCATAAGTTGCCTGTGTTAGCCTGTCTTGGCTTTAGAACCGGAACCCTGGGCACCCGGCTGAAAAGCAAAGGCACAATCTGAGCCTTTGACCTGTGTCAGGCAGAGGACCCAAAGCAACAGTCGGAAAGGCACATCCGTCTCACATTAGCTGACAACTACTTGCTGCCTCCGCAAAGTCCTGGGGGTCCAGAATGATGTTGAAAGTGCCTGCTGCCAAAAAAGCAATGGAAAGGTCGTATTGCAACTTCGCAAAAATTCCAGTTCCCAGTAGTAATGCTAGGAGCTACTAGTAGCCTCCTTGCTCCTAGTAGCGATGCCCTTTGTTACAGTACTAGTAGCGTCTTGTTCCTAGTAGCATTGCCAGGAGCTACCACTAGCTTAAGGCCCACGCCTCCATCGACTGTGTCCAGCTCAAACCGAATTGAGGGAATGGACCTAGGGCTGAGAGGCGTACTTTGAGATGCTGCGTTCGGTTTCACGCTCCAGTCTTCCATTGTCTCTGAAAGAGTGTGGAAGGGGTCATGCAAGGCTGCAAGCATCCCGCCCAGTCTTTTTCACAAGATCGGGCGTGGAAGGAACCTTGTAGCGGCCCCTTTGGCGGCATTGGCACCTGATGAGAATTGCCGTGCAATGGGCCATGGGCAATGTGTGTTCAGTATTCTGGCACCGTTTATTGCCCGTTAATTCTAGTGTTCAACCACTGGGTCTTGCCCGTTTATGGGGGAAGGTCGGGTTCAACGACACAGCAGGAATGGCTATCATACCTATGGCCCACAGAGGCTGCATCGACATGGTTTCCATTTAAATCCAACCTAATAGGAATGGACTCCATCCTACAAGCGATGGCCTCCAACATCCTCCAACCTGCTAGCAATGGCCTCCAAAGAAGAATGCCCAGGCACTTGCCCAAGATGATGGTGTAAGGACCGAAGCAGCACTGCGCACACTTTGCAAACCAGAATCTGGGCCTCGCGAAAGCCGGGCAACAACAAAGCCGAAAGAAGAGACTCGCATTAAAGTGTGCAATCTGAGCCACAGCAGGAGGCAGGCGTCTCATGCCTTGGGTGAGCATGGGGTCAAATTCTCATCAGGTATGATTGTGTTTAAGCCCGCGAAAGAATACGCGGATAGAGGAAGAGGTAGGAGAGGTAGCTGGCAATTAGCTATTAGCTATAGTAGCTATTAAGTACTGTAGGACGCTTCTACATATGGATGAAGGGATAGCCCACACTTCTTCAAGGAAGCTCCCCCCGCCCTCAAGAAGCCCTCGCACTACAAAATGATTTGGTTCCTTGGGAAGCTTAAATACTTTGGGGGGATGCAAACGTTGAAAGCTCCGATTTGACCCATTTTCCCGAAAGCATTGCAAAGGGTTCTTCCGGAAAACCCCTTGAACAGTGACACTTCGACACTTACACTTCGACACTTACACTTACACACACACACACTGGAAGAGCGAAAGCATCCAAGTGCGAAGCATGCAAGTGTCAAAGTATGCAAGTCTAATGATGAGCGTGCAAGCATGCAAATGCAATGAGTATGCAAGTGTGATGAGTGCGCATGGAAAACTAGCATGGAAAACTAACACGGGAGATGTCCTAATGAAGAACATTTCCCCACTTATAAATTCTCTCTTAAAGGCGGAGGGTGGGACGAACAGCGTCAACCGAAAATGCAACCCTCTGCGGAGATCGTGCGTGTCGAGTGCGCGAAATGCAGGCGAGAGCGCGATTCGCCCGGTGTGCGCGCAACCCTCTGCGGAGATCGTGCGTGTCGAGTGCGCGAAATGCAAGCGAGAGCGCGTTTCGCCCGGTGTGCGCGCAACCCTCTGCGGAGATCGTGCATGTCGAGTGCGCGAAATGCAGGCGAGAGTGCGATTTGTCCGGTGCGCGCGCAACCCTCTGCGGAGATCGTGCGTGTCGAGTGCGCGAAATGCAGGCGAGAGTGCGATTTGCCCGGTGCGTGCGCAACCCTCTGCGGAGACTGTGCGTGTCGAGCGCGCGAAATGCAGGCGAGAGCGCGATTGAGTCCGTATGCGCGCAACCCTTTGCGGAGATCGGGCGCGTCGGGCGCGAAATGCAGGCGACTTTGTAGTAGAACTGTAGTACGCGGAGTAGCTGGGGAGCTGGAAGCTGAGAACTGGCGACTTTGTAGTACAACTTTAGCACGCGGAGCAATCTGTGGAGCTGGAAGCTGAGAACTGGCGACTTTCTAGTACAGCTTTACGTGCGCGGAGTAGCTGGCGAGCTGGAAGATGAGAACTGGCGACTTTCTAGTACAACTTTAGTACATGGAGTAGCCGGGGAGCTGGAAGATGAGAACTGGCGACTTGGTAGTACAACGTTAGTACGCGGAGTAGCTGGGGAGTGGGAAGATGAGAACTGGCGACTTTGTAGTACAACTTTAGTACGCGGAGTATCTGGCGAGTTGGAAGATGAGAACTGGCGACTTGGTAGTACAACGTTAGTACGCGGAGTAGCTGGGGAGCTGGAAGATGAGAACTGGCGACTTTGTAGTACAACT